GGCCAAATTCCTAACCCTCCCTTCTTGCACCTCTTGTTGGTGCCACATTGCTGGTGCTTTGGAGCATTACTTGAAACCCAGTCCTCTGAGAGCCCCTTGTTTCAGGGCCCTGCTGACTGAGATGAGGAGATGCCCATTAGAGAACAAGTATCACTGCAGCATTTCTTGGGAATTTGATTTGGCTTTCAATAAGAATGTTATTAAATGTTTCCTCTGCATTAGGAAAACAGTGTGATAAAGTATTTTAGCAATCAGTTTGTCTGTATCTCATAAAAACAAGAGAACTGACAGAGAACTGACAATTCCCAGAGGGAATATGAAAATAGAGGAACATTAAAGGGTGCTCAGAGCTGATGGGCCAAGCAGGCACCTGACATAAAGTCAGAGCAGCTCTTCAGAGCATCAGAGATGTTAGCATTCATGGCAATTCTTGCTGAGTGATAAACTGGGTGGAGCAGAAGGGTTTTATGGCCAATAAAAGGTGTGTGGGTTATTCCTGGTTCATAATTTCACAGAACACGTGAAATGTAAGTGCCTATTCTTGCTACATGGAGTGAGCTGCTGAAAGTCTTTTAGCCTGTTGTCCATTTTTCTGCCAGTTATCACAACCCCTGTGCTTGCTTCTTGTTATGGACTTATCTGGGTCCGTTCCAGTCCGTCCTTGGCTAAATCAGCAAAAAGGTGCCACTCTTGTTTTGCTGCTTTGAAGGGCATTTTGTTTAATCTTATGTGGGGGGAAGAGAAAATGGACCGTTCCCCACAAGTGTAGTGGTCGAAATGGAAGGAAGGAGTTGGGTTTTGTAAGAAGAGTTTGTGAGGAGAGCCTGGCACACGATAACACGAGGGAGAGGCAACTTGTTATTTCCTTGTTTCAGCTGAGGGATAACAAAGAAGCAAGCAAATGTGAGGCATCCCTGCTTGGGTGGCTTGTGCTCCAAGGAAACCCCGGTGCAGACACGGGACAGGACACACCCCCAGAAAAGGCAGTTCAGTCCCACCAAGAAGGGTCTGGATGGGGTTAAACGACAGGGAAGAAGTGGAGATGTAGGGCTGGGACTGCAAACCTTTCTCCCTGCACTTCTAGGTGTTTCTCTTTGGTGCCTTGATGCCAATTCCTAACAAAGATACAGGCTAGAAAATAGCCAGTAGGGATCAGAGCAGTGCTGAGCTCACGTACCCAACATGTCACTCTCCAAAATGCACAAAGGATTTATGAAACATTTTCAGTGTGAACACACTGGCCCTTCAGAACAGGGAGCTCTGAATTCACTTTCCTCAAAGGTGGCTGAGAGGGTGAAGATAACCCCCTGGGAGGCTGGAGCTTGGAAGGACTGACAAAATGATCTTCTCCCCTCACTGCCCCAATATTTAGGTTGCATAAGAGGTGGTGGGGGTGTATTAGTACATGGCATTTGCACTGGAACCCCAAGTATCTGCTGTTATCTCTTTTCCAGGCTACTTCTGTTACTTCTTCCTAGTCACGTTTTCTTGACATCTTACACTGAAGAATGAATCTTTGCCCTCTCACAGACCATAAACTATAAATAACCCTATATTGTCTTTACCACTCTCCTCCTGGGAGATGTTGTTTTTTTTAATTTGCCCAATATATTCCATATTTACCCACAGAGAAAGGTTGCTGCTGAGCAGTGCCTCACCCAGCACACAGCCAGCTGGAGGGCAGACCCACAACACAGTGTGTCAAGCAAGACAAAATGATTAGAGAAAGCACAGGACACCTACAGGGTATTTTTTTCTGCACTGGAATCCAAGTTTGATCTTCGATTTTTCTGTTAAAAAACCAAAAGTGCTGGTGTCCCACTGCCCGAGCTGCCCTCCCCTCCTCCCACCTCCCTCCCAACACACCTTCCTGTTGCTTATGAGTTCAAACCTGCCTTGAAAGAATCGAAAACAGCTCCAATATTCTGCTGGGTTGCAAGTCTCTTGAAAACACTGGATGCAAATCTGATCTCACAGCCATCCAGATCCAGGGGACTGGAGAGGAATCCCCATGGTTTCAGTAACCTCCTATCAACCCTTGTTCCCCTTCCACAAGCTTCATCTGCAAGTAAAGGAGAGGACAGGATGCCAGTGGTTGCACGGGATGTCTCCCAACACAGCCTTCTTGGATCAGCCCAGACCTGGGGGGGACAGGAGAAGAAACATTCCCAGTTTTTGCAGAATGCCTGTGTCTGGCTCTGCTGCTCAGCAGGACGGTGTGAGGCCAGGCAGGAGGCAGGGCACACCCGGGGCACCCTGAGCTGCACACTCTGGTGGCTCCACTGACCTGTTTCTTTCCACCAGTTGCACGTTCCACATCCGCTGGTACCACTGGGGTTGCTCGGGCTGACTCTGCCCAGCCCTGCCCGCCGAGCACCGCGCACCGCGGCGGGAGATGGGGGAGGGGGGTCGTTCACAACCTTCACAGCTCTCCCTTTTCTGTTGACCTTCCTCCTACCACCCGTGACCGCTCCTGTTCCTCCAGGCCCCACGGCATCCCTGCTGCTGACACCCAACTGGTACAAGGGGGCTGGTTCCTTCCTTGGTGACACGGGGGCTGGTTTCCTCCGTGGGATGGGGCCAGGATCCCTCCGAGGAAGAAGAGGTCGGTGCCCCCCGCGGGCCGGGGTCCCGGGGGCGGGTCAGACCCCGGTACAGCTCTGGTGGGGGGATCAGACCCCGGTGCTCCCCGTGGGGGGGGATCAGACCCCGGTGCAGCCCCGGGGAGGGGGATCAGACCCCGGTGCAACCCCGGTGGGGGGTCAGACCCCGGTGCAGCCCCGGTGGGGGGTCAGACCGCAGCCCCGGGGGGAGGTCAGAACCGGTGCAGCCCCCGGGGGGGGGGGCAGACCCCCGCGCC